AGGGAGGGCTGCAGGTGGTGCTGGAGCGAGGTGGGGGGGGAAGGCGGTGGGGGCTGAAGGAGAAGTTGCGTTGGTTGAGTGGAGCGGCAGCGGTGGCTGAATTATCCCAGGTGGCCGAGTCTAATGACCAGCCGATGACAGTTCCTGGCCAATGCTCAAAAGAATCACTTATCGCTCCGTGTGTTTACTGCCCTCGCTGTTGGCCCTCCTCCTCCCCTCTTCTCTCTTTTAAAGGTTGGTCGTGTGCGTGTGGGGGGGGGGGTGAAGAGAGGGGAAAAAAGGCAACGAAATTTATATGCCACAATTGAGGCAGGAGAGAGCTTATATAATTAATTCGCTACCGGAAGACGGTTTGCGTGATTTGCAGGATTTTCGCAGCACATTTGCGCAGGGCGGGTGTCGTGTTCAGTGCGCGCCTGTAAGGGTTGAGTGCTCGGCGCATCCACTCTGCGAGTGGAGGAAGTGCATATTTTCTGGCGCACTGCCGAAGGACGCATTTTTTTGACGTCCGTGTACGTTATCCCATACAGTGAGGGGAAAAAAAGTATTTGATCCCCTGCTGATTTTGTACGTTTGCCCACTGACAAAGAAATGATCAGTCTATCATTTTAATGGTAGGTTTATTTGAACAGTGAGAGACAGAATAACAACAAAAAAATACGGAAAAACGCATGCCAAAAATGAAAGATTTCTGGCTCCCAGGTGTCTTTTATACGGGTAACGAGCTGAGATTAGGAGCACACTCTTAAAGGGAGTGATCCTAATCTCAGCTTGTTACCTGTATAAAAGACACCTGTCCACAGAAGCAATCAGTCAATCAGATTCCAAACTCTCCACCATGGCCAAGACCAAAGAGCTCTCCAAGGATGTCAGGAACAAGATTGTAGACCTACACAAGGCTGGAATGGGCTACAAGACCATTGCCAAGCAGCTTGGTAAGAAGGTGACAACAGTTGGTGCGATTATTCGCAAATGGAAGAAACACAAAAGAACTGTCAATCACCCTCGGCCTGGGGCTCCATGCAAGATCTCACCTCGTGGAGTTGCAATCATCATGAGAACGGTGAGGAATCAGCCCAGAACTACACGGGAGGATCTTGTCAATGATCTCAAGGCAGCTGCGACCATAGTCACCAGGAAAACAATTGGTAACACACTACGCCGTGAAGGACTGAAATCCTGCAGCGCTGGCAAGGTCCCCCTGCTCAATAAAGCACATATACATGCCCGTCTGAAGTTTGCCAATGAACATCTGAATGATTCAGAGGACAACTGGGTGAAAGTGTTGTGGTCAAATGAGACCAAAATGGAGCTCTTTGGCATCAACTCAACTCGCCGTGTTTGGAGGAGGAGGAATGCTGCCTATGACCCCAAGAACACCACCCCCACCGTCTAACATGGAGGTGGAAACATTATGCTTTGGGGGTGTTTTTTCTGCTAAGGGGACAGGACAACTTCACCGCATCAAAGGGACGATGGACGGGGCCATGTACCGTCAAATCTTGGGTTAGAACCTCCTTCCCTCAGCCAGGATGATAATGACCCAAAACACACGGCCAAGGCAACAAAGGAGTGGCTCAAGAAGAAGCACATGAAGGTCCTGGAGTGGCCTAGCCAGTCTCCAGACCTTAATCCCATAGAAAATCTGTGGAGGGAGCTGAAGGTTCGAGTGCCAAACGTCAGCCTCGAAACCTTAATGACTTGGAGAACATCTGCAAAGAGGAGTGGGACAAAATCCCTCCTGAGATGTGTGCAAACCTGGTGGCCAACTACAAGAAACGTCTGACCTCTGTGATTGCCAACAAGGGTTTTGCCACCAAGTACTGAGTCATGTTTTGCAGAGGGGTCAAATACGTATTTCCCTCATTAAAATACAAATCAATTTATAACATTTTTGACATGCGTTTTTCTGGATTTTGTTGTTGTTATTCTGTCTCTCACTGTTCAAATAAACCTACCATTAAAATTATAGACTGGTCATTTCTTTGTCAGTGGGCAAACGTACAAAATCAGCAGGGGATCAAATACTTGTTCCCCTCACTGTATGTACGGACACAGAGTACGCGAGTGTGTGTTTTGTGGATGGAGTGGTGGCGCAGTGGTCGGCGCGCCGCGCTGCGAACCCGGTGACCCCGGTTCAGTTCCCGCTCGTGGCCACCAACATTGTGGGGCCTCGCCTTAGGTCAACGCGGCCTTCACTTGAACCTCTTCCGCACCATGTGTAGCCAAGCGTGTGGTATGTGTGTGTGTGTAATGAGCAGTAGTGCTGGTCACTGAATAGGCTTCGATGTAGGTCACATTTTTGGTTGAAGCAGAGGCGCGCGTGTATTGCACACTTCGCTGTGAACCCTTCTCACCTCGGTTTGATTCCCAGCCACAGCTAACATCAGCAGCCAGTGGCATCAAAACCGGTCCTGGGTCCTCTTCACCCACCGGCTCTGACCAGCGTCAAATAACCTCCACGACCTCCGTAACGTGGGAAGGCCTTCTTCCAGCAGTGCATTGAAACAGGGCTAAAGTCAGTTATTATCTCTCTTTCTCTCTGTGTCTATTGCAGAAATACATCTCCGTGTGTTCTCACACATTGTCTACATAAGGATATGATATGGCTACAAACATTGTTGGCTGTGGCCTGGAGCAAAACTGATGTCACGGCTAGGGTTACCACCTGTCCTCCTTTTCCCAGGATCTTCCTCTTGTTGTTGAGGCAGCTGCTGTCCTGGGAAATCTGTAGGGTCTTCCCGAGAAATTAAAGTCCTGGTTGCGTAGTATTAATAATAATAATACACCACCACTCAAGTCGACACATTCACAGAAACTCAGTGAACGTTTGGCCAATCCCTGGGCCAACGTTGGGCCCACCGGTGGCACGTTCACCGGGTGGTTTTGCCCCATCAACCCCGTGGCGCGTCCCGATGTCGTCGAAACCCCAGAAGGCTGTGGGCAACCGCCGGTCGCCGGCGCGTGCTCTGCCTGCCGGCCATGCCAGCGGGGAATCGCTGGCATGGCCGGCAGACTCAATCCCGAGCAATTATCGGCACCAAGGCTGGGAATGCCTCCTGCGCCCCCGGTTACCGATCGTCGAGCCCCCTTTTGACCATACTTCACCGCCCTGCTCGGTGTGGGTGAGTTGGTGCTGCTTCTTTTTCCTCTTCTTCTTCTTCCTCTTCTTCTTCTTCTTCTTCAGGATGACCTTGCCCTGGCAACGCCTGCAGCCACTTTTAACGACATCGAATCCACTCTGAACCAAGACCTAAACACCATGGGGGGGATGTTTCCGGACACGGAGGCTCAAGCCAAATCACTGCATTTCATCTTGACAATAGGAGCGCCAAACACACTCTCAAAGGGTGGGTTGGTGCAGGCGGGGGAGCATAGACGTGGAAGCATAGTACAGGACAACGAAAGTTGATTCAGTGAGCGCCTATTAAGGTGTGCGTGGCGCACGAGGTGATGGTGCGTGACTAGCAAACATGCCTAGCCGCCTTTGTCTACCCAGTGCTGATGTTTTATACACCGCACCAAAACTGGGTCACCTCCTGAGTTGATCTCGGGGAAGGCGCTAGGACCGGTTCAGACATCGGTCCTCGCTGATGTTCGCCATAGCCTGGAATAGAACCCAGGCAGCCTGGTTCACGGTGCAGCACCCCTTTCAACCCATGAAATATTCAAACGCTGGTGAGTTGATGATCCTAATGTACCACCAAACTACATAAATCGTGGGGCGGCGGGGGTTACAAACTGTACAAATATGTTTTTTGTAAACCGCTGAAATGAAAAACTCTTTTGTTTTGTGTTTGTGTATGTGCGTTAGTTAATTATGCTAGTTACATGATAGTTGTGTGTGCGCGGGCGCGTGTGTGTGTGTGTGTGTGCACAACTCTGCCATAAAGGTCACTTAGCATTAGCCCCAATTTAATTTCTGTGTAGCCATGAGAATTAAAGCCACATGCAATGAAAAAGAAAGCAGTTAGGAAATGTTTATTTCCACCGAGAGCCATGGAAATGTGGCTCAAGCGCGGGCGTTCCGTGGCCAACATCGCTACAGTAGCTCCATTCAAAATGCTCCGACGTGAGGTTTAGGAGAGAAAAAGGGGGGCATTGCTGGACTGGACCACTGTTCAGTTAGTCTGAAGAGGTTTATGAATGAGAACAATAATAGTCATAATCGTAACAATAGCACCATTGTTATTTTTCCGTGAAAGCCTCGCTGCGATAGTATGTATTCCCCCCCCACCTTAACTAAGACTGAAAGCGTTAATGCATTAGCCCTGTCTGCCTGTCTGTAACTTGGAGGAGGTGGGGGGGGGGGCGGTGGTTCACGGTAGCTTCCCGTGACGAACGACCGAACGAATTGACGACTGAAACTGAACGGATGAAAACAAACGAACGACTGTGTACGTATGTGCAGTCTGTTCGCCTGTAGTGCCACGTGTTGATTTCATAACGCTTATGGGACGCGATGAATGTGTGGGGGAACACATTTTTGTTATAACGCGGATGCGAATTGTATGTAACGCGATGGAGCGAACGGAAGCGCGTCGCGCGAGTAGCAACAAGCGGTGGTACGGCTGCCTCGGCGTGGCATCGCACAAGGCGGTGGGATGCTGCTGGATGCTTCTAGATGCTACCCAGGCGCCTCAGTCTTTGTTCGGCCTGCGTTACGCATCTCACGTGTTCATCGCGGACTGTGCTTCGCCCTATGTTATTTATTATAACGCCATTTTTCCACACCGTGGTGTTCTTCAGGAAAGCATCGACCGCCGCGTTATCGGAGGACGGACCGTAACGCCCAACTTCTTTCACGCCGTGCGTCGAGTGAGCTGACAACCGGACGGACTAAAAAGGGGGGGGGAGTGCAAAGCGACGAACAATCAGACGGCCATAGCAAAACGACGCGGATGAACCCTGCGTGAAACACTCTACGTGCCCGTCGCGGCCGTGGTGACGGCGAGACCGACCGTGTGCGTGTGGGTGGCGTCCCTCCCCCTCCCCGCAAGGCTCTTCGGCCGCAAGTGCGCCGGCTGCATGGGCTCCGTGGCGCCGTCGGAGCTGGTGATGCGCGCCCTCGAGAGCGTCTACCACCTGGGCTGCTTCAGCTGCTGCGTTTGCGAGCGTCCGCTGCGCAAGGGCGACGAGTTTGTGCTCAAGGAGGGCCAGCTGTTCTGCCGGCCCGACTATGAACGGGAGCGCGACATGCTCAGCTCCGCCAGCCCCGACGCCTCCGACTCCGGTGAGGGGGGGGAGGGGAGCGGGGGAGCGAGCGAGCGGCGTTGCACGAGGAGCGAACAACGGCAGATAGGGGGAAGCATTTGCCCCCCCCCCCACTCCCCGCCCTCCCCCCACCGACTAGCCTTGTACACGACTGGAAATTTATAGTCGCCAAATACTCTGAAGCGAACGTTCATTCTGAATGCGGAGGCGAAGAAAACGGGAGGGCCCGGAGAAAAATCCACGCGGCCACGGGGAGAGAGACACGCAAACTCGTATTATACAGGTATCAGGGTCGGGATTGAACCCACAACCTCCTGTATACCAGGCGAGGGAGTTGACAACTCAGCACGGCACCACCCTACAGCACAACGATTGCCTGTATCGCCTTAACGGACTTTTTGGGCAAATGCTGTTAGCGAGCATCTTTGAAGGCCGGCATGGCACAGGAGGGGGTGGGTGGCCAGCACCACACTTGGCCACCTTTGCGAGTGGCGATGTTTACACACTCATTTGAGAGGCCACGCCGCGTACTTATTTGAGGCTGAGTCGACCTAGGGGAGGCCCAGGACCAATTCAGATAATCGTCACTGGTGTTGACCGAGAGCGGGAATCGAACTTGGGCCCCCGGATTCATAGCGCAGCGCGCCAACCGCTACACTAACCGCTACACTACCTCAAGGTCATACACACGTGTGTACACACACACACACACGTGTTAACACGTGCGCACATACGCACAACCATACACATGCGCACGCGAATTCAAGCATCCCACCGTGTACGTTCAGGCGAACCGTCGGTGCGGGTGCTGTCAGCGAGCACCAATTTACGGCAGGGCTGTTAAGGCTACACGGGGGAACCCTCGCCTCTTGTGCTTGCGCGGGCGTGCGAATGGGGGGGGGCGGGGGGTGGGGAGGGGGGGGGGGGGTTTCTGATCCTCACCCAAAGTGGCGTGCCGCCCCGCCAACCTTGGCCGCGCCAAACCGCTCGCTGACCTTGAACGTCCAGGCCGGCCCCGGCCCCGGCACCGGCACCGGCCCCGGCACCGGCACCGGCACCGCCGACACAAAGGGCAGCTCTGTGCGGCGTGGGCAGCGTAAGGGGGGGTGGGTGGGGGGGGGGCTGTAGAGGTCGGCGAGCGACAAACAAACAAAGCCTCGGCTCCGCAATCACGATCCTGCCGCGCGCTCGCACGATTGTTGTTATTATTATTGTTGTTGTTGTCGTTGTCGTGGGTTCTAAACGAACACCGGAATAGAAATTTGCAGGCGCACGTGTCGCCGTGAAGCCTGCGTAGACTGTTGGCGCCGCTAGCGATCGCCTGTGACAGGCCGGAACGGCGGCACGAGGAGGCGTCGTGGCCAGGACCACACGCCGGGGGCTTCCTCTGTCGTCGATCCCCCCACCACCTCCCTGTGCTGATGTTAAGGACAGCACACCAGGCTGAGTTGATCTAAGCTTGCCGCTGGTGATGGCCGTCGCGGGTGGAAGAACACCCGGTGCCCTCTCGGTTCGTAGCGCGGCGCGGACCGCTGCACCAGTTGCTTGCCGGTTGTCGGCGAGCGAGGCTCAACCGAGTCACTTTTACCCTCGCTGGCATTCCGAACGACCACGGTGTGGCGATCACCAACGACAACATCTGGGGACCTGCGGGGCCAGGACCCACACCAGCCACGCCTTGGCTGCCGTTTTTTCTCCCCCCACCCACCCACCCCACCCACCCACCCCACCCACCCCACCCACCGTGCCGATGTTAAACCACAACCTTGCCAAGCGCACAATTAATGCCGGATCAATCCCGGGGAAACCCATGCCGGGTTACCACCCACGGCGGCGAGTGCTGCGGCCAGGAATTGAACCCAGATTGCTGGGCTTGCGGCGCAGCGCTGGAACCATTGGGCCCGCGCTTTTCGCCCTATGTGCAAAGACAGAGATCCCGCTATGCTGGGGCGAGCACCCATTTAGGGTTCGGCACAGCACGTAAGGGCGCTGTGTTTCAACCATCACACTTGCCGACGTTTGTTTTTTACACACCGTGCTAAGTACTCATTTTCAGGCTGAGTCGACCTCAGCGAGGCCCAGGGCCGGTTCAGATATTGGCCGCTGTTATCGGTCGTGAGCGTGAATCGAACTCGGGTCGCCTGTCTCAGAGCGCAGTGCGGTAACGACGACACTTGCAGCTCCTCGCATAGAGAAAAAGACAAAAGATCCCCCGTATAGCCTTCAGCAGACTGTTGGGCGTGTGCTGTTAGCGAGCACCTATGAATGCCGGGATGGCAAACGGGACACCATGCCTGGCCGCCTTTTGTCTCCCGAGCGGTGATGTTTGGACACCGCACCAGAAAGAAGTTCGACGTACATTAATCGGGAAGGCCCAGGACCGCTTCGGATGATCATCACCGGTGTTGGCAGAGAGCGGAATTCGAACTCGGGTCACTGGGCTTGTAGCGCAGCATGTTAACCGCTACACTGCTGCTCCCCACACACACGCGCGCACGCGCGCACCGTCAAACAACACGCACGCACCGAGGAGGAAAAAAAACACAACCTAAAAATACCAGTGTCAGCCCAAAAAAGCAGTGTCGCAATGGCCCCACAAGACGGGACATTGAGCCGCAGCGCTTGCCCAGCCGCCTCGCGCACTGTATCTGTGCGTTTTGTAATTAATGGGGCCTCTCTACTTACACACACGCGCGCGCGCGCGCGGGGACGCACACACGCGTGGACACACAAGCACGTACGCTCGCTCTCGGCGTGCAGCGCGCCGTGTGACCTCCCTCCGTGCCGTCGAGCAGCCACCCACGTACACGCCGCTCGCCAACATCCGGACACTCGCGGCCGTCGACCCTTCTCGGCATCTTCCCAAAATCCCTCTCTTCCCAAACCCTCTTCTTCCCAAAATCCCTCTCTCTTCCCAAAATCTCTTCCCCAAATCCCTCTCTTCCCAAACCCTCTTCTTCCCAAAACCCCTCTCTCTTCCCAAAATCTCTTCCCCAAATCCCTCTCTTCCCAAATCCTCTTCTTCCCAAAATCCCTCTCTCTTCCCAAAATCCCTCTCTCTTCCCCAAATCTGAATATCGGTCACACGGTCGGCCTTTCCCCGCACCTCCGATTAGCACGGCCGGCTACGTATGGTGCGAAAAAAGTTCAACATGCATGCATGCACTCAGATCCTTTATTTAAAAACAAAACAGGTGAGAGCCCTCTTAAGATAAAATATAAATCAATACACTTTTTTTTTTAAGGCGACGTGGATTACGACGAAATAAAACCGTAGAGATGTCAAAGAGTTCACACTCAACATCGTACAGGGTCAGAACGTTAAGCAAAGCAGAAACACGCGGTCAAAATGCGCATCTACCATCTGGTGTGTGGTCAGTGGTGACCAGATGAGACGACTCCGCATGAGAACTCTTTATAATTTCAGGTGGCATGCCAAAGGTTTTAAACCCGGGATATCTCCCAGGTGGCGCTGGCTCAAGCGCTCTTGACAGGGACATTATGAGCCCCACAGAGGCACCCAACCACTGCTTCATCAGCAAATATAAACAGAAACCCCCGTTCCGTCTCCGCGCATAAATAACAAAAGTTTAGTCCCATCAGCCGACTGGCTCTCCAACGCAATATTACGAACGCAGCATTCGTTTAAGCGGGCAAAACTGTCCACCGGCTTCGACCTTCCGGGTCTCATCAGCAGAGTGAGGCTTGTGGAAAACAATTGACCGCTGGATCGGCCAGATGTTGTTGGCAAGAGCACTCCAATGACATTGTGGGGGGCCCCCCCCTCCCCCCGTTCATCGCAAGATCATCGGGGTAGTATTTTTAGAACAGACATCCGAGTGCAGAGTTCGTAATGAATCCATTTCACCGAATACAAAGTCAATAGGGTGGGGGGGGGGGGGGGCGGCAGGGGTGGTGTAAAAGCAGAAACAGATGTGTTTCTGTGAGCGTCTCGTATTTATCGGGTATTGAGTGAATGTTTGTGAGCGCACGTGTCCCCCCCGCTAATCCCATGTCAAACATTCCGAGCGGATCCGATCGCCGCCGCCGCCGCCGCGCGTGCGTCAGACATGCAGACACGCGTGGGGGGGTGGGGGGGGGTGGGGGGGGGGGGGGGGTGGGGGGGGGGTCACTTGCGCGTCCCGTGATGAAGCCATCGGTGATTTTTGCGCGAGAGTCGGCCACGAAGTGCCCGCGTTCAAGGAACGCGGGCACTCCGTTTGTTGATTAAATAAATAACCGGACAACAAATCTCCTTGGCAGGTGTAATATAGTCCGTATAATATCAGCCGCGCGACCCTCCTAGGAGCGCGTCATTTCAGAAGAGCTGATTCCAGACGAGCAATACTCTGAACTGGTTTTAACACGCGACGTCTCTTGAGCAAGGCTTGATTGAGTCGATCCGGGCAAGCAGCCCATTTAACAGGGCTAGGGAACCGTCTCTTGACGATATTTGGGGTGCCTGGGTGGCGAGATGTTAACTACCTCGCCTGGTATACAGGAGGTGTAGTGGGTTTGATCCCGAGCCTAAGGCCTGCAAAATTTGGAGTTTGCGTGTCTCTCTCCCAGTGGTGGATTTATCCATTTCTAAATGGATTTATCTCCATTTAGAAATGCGGATTTATAGAGTTTTTGGCTGCTTAACATTTCCACGAGATAAGCCGCTTCGTTGAGCTATCATTTGTGGCCAGGTCGCTTCTCAAAAAGAGCTTTAGCGGTCAGTGGGCCTTACCTGGTAAAATACAAATAGTTAAAATGAAAATCGTTGTTGTTGGGTGAAGTGTCAGGCAAGAGGCTGCGTGTGTTGTGATGATGTCCACTATTTAACCGTAGAATTAGACCGCAGACGTTTTTTCTCGCAGAAGTTTCCATTTATCGTGTAATAATAATACTGAGCCTGGAGTGACGATGACAACAATGATGACGATGATGATGTGGCCAGCAACCCGAAGGTTGACCAATGACCTGCTTGCCCCTACCGCCACCTCCGTGCCAACTTGATCGTCTCCCTCCCCCGCCGTCGCCGATCCGCGCGTGATCTGCCAACCCCGCCGTGTGCGCGCAGTCAAGAGCGAGGACGAGGACGGCGTCAAGGGGAGCCCGGGCGGGGCCCCCGGGGCCAAGGGGGGCGGTGGAGGGGGCGGCAGCGGCAGCGACGAGAAGGACCCCAAGAGGCCCAAGAGGCCGCGGACCATCCTGACGACACAGCAGCGGCGGGCGTTCAAAGCCTCCTTTGAAGTCTCCTCCAAGCCCTGCCGCAAGGTGCCTGTCCGTCCGTCTGTCTGAGCGTCCGTCCATCCGTTCGTCCGTTTGTCTGCCTGCCTGTCCGTCCGTCCGTCTGTCTGAGCGTCCGTCCATCCATTCGTCCGTTTGTCTGCCTGCCTGCCTGTCTGTCTGAGCGTCCGTCCATACATTCGTCCGTTTGTCTGCCTGCCTGTCCGTCCGTCCGTTTGTCTGAGCGTCCGTCCATCCATTCGTCCGTTTGTCTGCCTGCCTGGCTGCCTGTCTGTCTGAGCGTCCGCCCATCCATTCGTCCGTTTGTCTGCCTGCCTGTCTGCCTGTCTGAACGTCCACCCGGCCGTCTGTCCATCCGTCTCTCCGTCGTCCATCCATTTGTCTGCCTGCCTGCCTGTCTGTTGGCCGTCTATAATTTCGTCTGACCGTCCAATCCATCCATCTGTTTGTCCATCCCTCCAACCCTGTGTTGTCTGTCCATGTGTCTCTTCAGTTTTTCTGTCTGGGAATAACTACCAATCACAGGCATCGTAATTTCCTTCACGTTTGTGAGTTACATGTTTGTATCTGAAACGTCTTCGTAAACTTCATTACTTGTGGCATCAAACGACGATGAATCGTACCTCCACGGTAAATCCATGAATTAAAATATTCCTGAAAGGGGGCAATGAGTGGGGGTGGGGGGGGGGGGGGGGTTAAGGGCGTGTGATGTCATAACACGGCCTGAGCCTCAAAGAGCAGACGTGGACAATCAACTACGCAGCACTCGCTGCTGCCACCCCGCACCTCTCATTGTCACGGTTGGCTACGTACGGTGTGGAAGAAGTACATGAACAGCAACAACAACAACAACAACAACCTTCGCTCGAACAACAATCTTCACCCGAAAGAAGAAGAAAACAAAGCGCCTTGGTTAACGCTCCGTTGGAGAGCCACACGCCGCCGTCAGCAGCCTGAACGCCAACCGTCACGCTGACGATCCGTTACAATTCGCTAACGCAGACATCGGCTCGTCTATGTTTTTTTTTCTCTGGTTTGCCCGACCCCTGTCGTAGGTAGCATCACTTTCCGTCGCGCTATGATCCACGTCGTCAAGAGAGGGTCCTCGTTTCGATTTAAAGCTTTCGTGACTGCAGGGATTCATCTTCTTTGGTTCTTTCGGTAAAGTCACCACGTAGAATGAGAATATTATCGTGTTATTTTATTTTATCAATTTATTATTTTATTCTCATTCTACGTGACTTTACCGAAAGAACCAAAGAAGAAGAGGGTCCTCGCTTGTAAGATGGGCAGTTCACCGGCACCGAAGCAGGCCTGACTCGGCTGATGAGACACCGCGTGTCGAAACTAGGTCCAGAGATGCACTTGCCTTGCCTCTTGCGTTTCGCTTGTCGTCCTTGCCCCGCACCTCCGGCCAGCGCGGTTGGCCACGTACGGGTGCGAAGGAAGTTCGGGAGAAAATGCAGGAGACCCCGAGGAAACTCCTACGACCTCCTGGCAAACCTCCTACGGGGGGAGAGAGCTCTCAAAGAGAGAGCTACGCGGACACCCCGATCCGGCCCTTCGCAGCCACGCAGCACGAGAGATGACATCGTAAATACCAGGGTGGGGGCGGTGGGGCAATGCGCTTATGAAACACGGCCACCCGAGTTCAATTCCCCAACTCGGCTGACATCAGCGGCGATCGATATCCGATCCGCTATACTGGTGTGCATGCTCCTGGCTGCACCGGCTCCCTCGTGTACCTCTACCACCTCAATAGGTGCTCGCTAACTGCAGCTGCGTGCAAGCGCAACGTGGTCGTCACCAACCCACCGCAGTGACCACCCAATCCAGCAGTGGATTGACGGAGCTGGCGAGATGTTAACTACCTCGCATGGTACGCAGGAGGTCGTAGGTTCGATCCCAACCCTGACGTCTGCATATTTGGAGTTTGCACGTCACTCTCCCCGTGGTCGCGTAGATTTGTCTCAGAGTCCCTCCGGATTTGTCCCTCCACATTTAGAAAAGGGGTGTTTACAGAGTATTTGGCTGCTATACATTCCCACGTGATCATCCACTTCGTTGGGCTATCATTTGTGGCCAGGTTGTTTCTGAAAAAGAGCTTCAAAGCTCAGTGGGACCTACCCGGTAAGTGAATAAGGTTTTTTTTTTCGTTAAAGAGCTTTAGTTCAGTAATGGTAATTCCATTACCGTCCGTGCGTACGCCAATACGTCCAGGAGCTCGACGCCAATGTCGAGGCCTGCTGAGCCAGGACGAGAGGGCTTCAGTAAGCGAGACGGCGGGGGGGGGGGAGAGTCTCTTACTGACGGAGCGCAGGGCCCACTGCAGCGCTTCAACGACGCAATCCGCGGCGGACTTGGACGCCGGAGCAAAAATCCCCAGCGGCGTCGGGAGGGACATCGCGATTGTGACTCACGCGCGGAGAGAGCGGGGGGGGGCGGGGGGGGGAGTGCGTTGTCAACGGCAGGGACGGGTGGCGCTGTCGGTCCGCCGAGCGGTGTCGCGTTTCAGCAAACTCGGGAGAGGCGCCTTCCCGCTCGGCGGGCCGCGTCGCGCTAACCCCGCCGCTGTCGCCGCCGCTCGGCAAACAACGAGCGTCGTTCTGGCGCCACGAGGGGCCTCCTCCCCCACCTCCACCCCCCCCCCCCCCCCCCCCCCACTCCACCACCTCGCGGACCGCGAGCTCGTCATCGGCGGCGGCGGTGCTTCGCAGGGGACGCGTGCCGCTCAGAGGACTCTCTGAAGGTTAAAGTTGTAATTGGCAGGGTTAACGGGCCACCGCGGGGCACGGCGCCGGGGGGTGTTGGGGGCGGCAACGATGCGGCGATTCGACGGTGACGGTTACGCGTGCGGAATCACGTGCGCGAGGACCGACGGTCGCGGTGAGGTCCGTAGGCGTTGCGCGTGGTGCGTTCAGGTTCAGGTGGACCTCTGCAGCCACTAGGGCCCGTGACCTTTACTGCGATGTGGAGAATGGAATTGATCTTGAGTCGTGAGGATTCACCAAATCGCCGGGGAGTGAGCTGTGGGGGGTGGGGGTGGGGGGGTGATCGCTATGCCCCCCTATAAAGGGTACTGTGTAAGTAAATAAGTAAACAAACGAAAGTTCATCTCTCCACATTACAGGGATGTCATCCACGGTATTTTCCCCTTCAGTCCATAAGTCCATGTGGGTCTTCTGAATCAATGGACCCATTAAAAACATAAAAAAACAGTTGTTTTATGGGCTGATGAGTGTCAAAAAATGCGCCAGCAAACGCTGCTGTAAATAATTTCTCGGCAAGGCGAAACGGCCGATGGACCGAAAAAATATTATAATTTTATAATGCGGATATTTCTATCATCCAGATTAAGTCGGGTAGGAGACCGCCACCGCTGAGATCCTGGATTCGAATCTGGGTTCCAGCCCGCCGTGGCCCTCAAGCGTTGTGGATTTGATGGTCTGCAGAAGAACACGTTTGGTCATTCATTGAGTTTGGCCTGGCGCAGCAGCTCCCGATGCGAACATCGGCAATTTCACCTGGCGACTGACGCGTGGGCGAGTGGGATCTACGTGCAGAACGCGCGGTTCTGTCGAGCGTCGGGATGAGGGCGGCCCGTCCGGTGATCCGTGGCGTTATTTCCCGCTCTGGGTTCCAGAAAGAGAGCGCTCTTAACCCCGTCACCCAACTCCCGACGGCGCGGTCGGTTGCGCGATTGACGATGATGACAGTGAGGCGTTGGGGGTTGGGGGGGGGGGGGGGGGGAACAACTTGGCACAGAGCTGAAGTCAGCACATCGCGACGTCGCAGCGGCGCTGGGAGAGTTGGCGAATCGGCGGAGCGGCAGAACGAAAACCCGCCCCGGGGCAACGCTTCACCGGGCCGACCCTCGCGGCAATGTCGGCCGCGCCGAGCCCACGAGATGCGTTCTCCACGGCCCAGCGAACAAACATCTTTCTGTACCACGGACCGCTTGCGGTCGCGCGTGGGGATTAATGATTACGGTGAGAGCAAAGGGGTCACCGCCCGCTCTAAAGGACGTGCCTCGACTCGCGCCCGATGATCAACGCTAACGCTAGCACGGCACGGCCGCGACGAGCTGCCGGCTCGGGAGTCGGTCGCGGGGATGAGGGCAAAGATCCCCCCGCGTAGCGCTACGTCGACTGTGGGCGCGGTGTCCTGTCAGCGAGCACCGTCCCCTTTGCATCGCTCTCCGTGCCACAGCAGGCGTAACGTAACGCCGATCGACAGCTGCCTCCTTTCGCACCACATCCCAGCAAACGTGCGCAACGCCGGGGCTAACATTGGTCCGGCGGTTGCAACCGCAAGCCGACGTTGGGCCGACGTCGGCGTGTTGATTGGGACGGGCGCGTTGCTTTCCGTGCGTCGAACGACGATGGCGGAGGCTTACTGGAAGTTTGCGAGCAGCGTCATGAAGGCCGGGGGGGGGGAGAGGGGGGGGGGGGGTGGGTCTCAACGCGACGTCGCAGGGGGCCCGCACAGATTCTTTGTCGCTAACCTGGGTCATTGTGCCCGTGGACCCCCGCCCACCCCGTGCCCATCTCGGCAATTTCATTGCAGGTGCGGGAGTCCCTGGCTGCGGAGACGGGGCTGAGCGTACGCGTGGTGCAGGTGTGGTTCCAGAATCAGCGAGCCAAGGTATGCGGTCGCCATCGTCATGACTACCACCACCGCCACCACCACCACCCACCACGACCACGACCAGCCACATCATCTACAACCCAGTCACCGTCACCATCTTCATTTACCATCGACATCGCTCACCACATCATCAACCCCCGTCACCATCAACAACCGTCACCATCAACAACCACGTCATTGACCCCCCCCCCCCCACCGTCACTGTTCCTGTTGTCATGACCAATGACCAACCACGCGTCACCAAACCCCGTCGCCCTCCCAGCCCCTGACCACGTGACATCACTTGGCGTCCGTGAGCCAACGTGCACGACGCTCAATGTGTGAGGGTGGCGGAGGGAGTTGTGGTGGCAGAGGGAGCAGGAAGGGCGGAGTTGGAATTGGCAGGGCAGCCGGTTTGGAGCGATGTGCGAGAGTATACAGGCGTGTTCGTATGTCTGTGTGTGTGGTGGGGAGCGGCGGCGTAGCGTTTAGCGCTACGCTGCGCTACGAACCTGACGACCCGGGTTCGATTCCCGCTCACGGCAAACACCGGCGACGATTATCTGAACCGGTCCTGGGCCTTCCCTAGGTCGAGTCAGCCTCAAATGAGTACCTGGTGCGCTGTGTGAACATCGCCAATTGGGAGACAAAGGCGGCCGAGCGTGACACTGTCCACCCACTCCCTCGTGTGCCACGCTAACAGCACTTGCCCCAGCAGTGTGTTAAGATTTTACGGGGGGGATCTTCGTCTTTTTATGGCGGCGAGTGCCAGGGTAGCGGTTTAGTGCACTGCGCTATGAACCAGTAAAAACCTGGGTTTGATTCCCTAGCACGGCCGGTATCAGTGCCAAGCGATATCTGAATCCCGTTCCTGGACCCCTTCGCTCGGTGGACTCGGCACTGAATAGATCAGCGCCAGGGAGGCAATGGCAGCAACGTGTGCATGATTCTGCCTCCAACGCCCCTCCATGAAGCCCTGCAGCCTTGATTGGTGCTCACATGTGAAACGTCGTCTTCACCAACGTGCACTGGCCAGAGTGGTGAAGTATGGTCAAATGACCCCCAAGGCTTGGGGAGGCACCTCATCCAGCAGTGGATCGACAAAAGGGCTGTACGTGTACGTGTCATTTTTGTTCCAAATTTCACTGCAATTCGGTCGAACCAGGTTCAGTTCCTATCCACGTACATCACCCATGACAATTCATGTCCATTTTTATTTTACCAGATAAGGCCCCACTGAGCTACACATAGAAGCGACCTGGCCACAAAGGATAGCTCAACGAGAAGTGACTTCATCACGTGTAAATTTGTAGCAGCCAAATACTTTAAACGCACGTTGATTCTAAATGTGGAGGGGAAAATCGGAGGACCCGGAGAAAAACTCACACGACCACGGGGAGAGAGACACGTAAACTTCAAATATATAAGCAGGCGTCAGGGACGGTATAAAACCCACGACCTCCTGTATACCAGGCGAGGTAGTTAACATCTCACCCTGGGTCTGCTTGGCGTTAAGGTTTCTATGCACGCGCCAAACCGGCAAAGCCAACAGGCGCTCGATGACACGGGCTCGTGTGTGTGCATGTGTGTGCGTACACCCAGGACCCCATTCCAACCTAAAGTGGCCTGGTCTCAGTTATCTGATGAAAGTTGCAAGCGAGAATTTCATCATCGCTTGCGGCTGGGGTTGGCATCGTCCCCCACTCCTGATGTCGAGGGTAAATGGGCGAGGTTTAGGACTGTGACTCAATGCAGCTGCAATGGCTGCTTTGGGTACGCGGTCCAGACCTCCCCAGAGACCCTGGCCGACAGAGGAGGTGTTCAGGATGGTTGAGAAAAAGCGACAGGCCCACTGTCATCGGCTACAGAATCCCACGTCAGAGAATGAGGAGGCTTACTGCAACCTTCGCTCGGAGGTTCGGAGAGCCGTGAGGTGCTGCAAGGATGGGTGGTGGTCGCGGGTTGCTGAGGAGATGGAGTCTGCCTCAGTGGCCCGCGATCACAAATCTCTATTTAACTCCTTCAAAAAAGTAACCAGCAGCGCCACACTTATTACCATCATTAGGGGGAAAAATGGTGATCCAATCTCCGACCCCCAGGAACAGGTTTGCAGATTTGCTGAGCATTTTTGTGAGGTCCTGGGGGAGGGGAAATCCCTCAGCCAGGAAAACATCGTGGCACAAAGTGGGAATGACCCTGCTGAGGCTGCAGTGCCTCAAATATTGGAAGAAGTCACCCCCTGTGAGTGGCTGGCTAATGTGCCATCTGTTGAGGAAGTACTGAAGGCGATCTGGAGTCTGAGACCAGGAAAGGCACCGGGTAGAGATGATCACCCAAGCGAAATGTTGAGGGAGGGTGGCGTTTGTGCACAGACTGCCCTATATGACATCATAACAACAGTCTGGACCACTGGACGGGTTCCGCAGGATTGGAAGGATGCCCTGGTGGTCCCCCTCTTTAAGAAGGGGGACCGCACAGACTGTAACAACTACAGGGGCATCTCACTCCTCAGTGTGCCAGGAAAGGTCCTGGCAAGGATTATTCAACATCTCCTTGCCAGGCACGCTGAGGAGAAGCTTGCGGAGCCCCAATGCGGTTTCAGGAAAGGGCGGTCCTGCACAGATGCCATATTTTCTGTCCGTCTGCTACAGCAGAGGTATAGGGAATTCCAACAAGACCTACATCTCTGCTTTATTGACCTGGTCAAGGCCTATGATACCATCAGTAGGCCTGGGCTCTGGGTTGTTCTTCGTGCTTTTGGAGTCCCTGACCCTCTGCTCACGATCATTAAGGACCTTCATGATGGTAAGCGGGCCCGGGTAAAACTACATGGCCGGGAGTCAGAGCCATTCCCTGTACACCTTGGGGTGCGACAGGGATGTCCTCTGGCTCCCACATTATTTAACATTTTGACCACGTAGTTCGTGAAGCCTTCAATAGCTGTACCGGGGGAATCTCCATTTGGTACAGATATAATGGGAGGCTGATCGATGCCCGGGTGCGGTCAAGGGATGGCTCCCTATTGCTCAACCACGTTATGTATGCCGATGATTTGGTAATAGCTGCTCATTCAGAGGAGGAGTTGGAGATGCTGCTGCTGAGACTGGAGCGTACCACTAAGAGATGGGGCCTTACCATCAGCCCCACCAAAACTAAGCACCTGCCTGAATATTTTGTACCATCGGACACTCCACCCCCACAACTGCCAATCGGTGATGGGGCAGTTGTGAAGAGAGTGGAGAATTTCCCATACCTGGGCAGTGAGCTTATGACCGGCTCCAGTTTAACAGCAGAGGTCTCACTCCAAATCAGTCGAGCGGCAATATCTTTTCATCGGTTGCGTAACGCTGTGTGGAAGTTACCTGGTCTGTCGCTCCGCACTAAGCTTCATGTCTTCTCGGCCGCGGTCATTCCCTCTCTTCTCTATGCTTGCGAAACATGGACCCCCCTAATGGAACATCTTCGACAGGTAAGAAACATTTAGGCTAGCCTGCCTACGACCCATCCTGGGTTTAACCAGGGTAGATTGTGTGAGGAGCTCACAAATCTTTGAAAGATCTGGGCAAGGTCCCATCGGTGAGCTCCTCCGGCAGGCAAGGCTGCGTTGGCAGGGTCATGTAGCCCGCATGCCCAGCCACTGCATGCCGAAACAGCTTTTGTTCGGCCGGATCGAGGGGGCTTAACGGGCGCGGCACGGGCTAGAGAAGAGATGGAGTGATGTGGTACAGGAGGACGTGGAGCTGAGTGGACTTGCCGATGACTGGTACCAGCGGTGTCAAGATCGGCCTCTGTGGAGGAGGCTCGTGAAGGACGCTACTAGGCAGTTGGAGGCAGTCGCCCTCCAACAACAACGGAGGGCAGAGGAGCGACGCTCACAACAACGAGCAGAGCGCCGGGTGGCTAAAGCACAGCGGGTTGGTACAGTAGGGGGCACAGGTGGTTTATCAGCCAGTCATCTCAGTCATCTTAGTCGGTCGACCCGTGGCACGTGGGTCTGCCCCGTGACCTCCTGCCAGCGGGCCTCAAGGTGCACATGGCCTGGCACAAGCGTCGTGGTGACGTCACCGCCACTTAGTGGCGAATGGCGGTTGTTGTTGTGGGGAGCGGTCGTGCGGTGTTTAGCATGCCGCGCTACGGACCCGGCGATCCGAGTTCGATTCCCGGCCAACGCCGGTGACGATTATGTGAACAGGTCATGGGCCTCTCCGAGGTAGACTCGGCCTCAAATGAGTACCTGGTGCGGTGTGTAAACATCGCCACCGGGGGAGACGGTCGGGCGCGGTGCTGGCCAACCCACCCCCCGCTCGTGTGCCGTGCCGGCCTTGGTAAGGTGCTCGCGAAAACAGCCCTTGCCCCAACAGCGTGCTAAGGCGACGTGGGGGATCTTTCGTCTTTGTCTGTTCTGCCGTGCCTGTTGCCGCGTGCAGATGAAGAAGCTCGCGCGCCGGCAAATCCAGCAGGAGCAGGGCCAAAGTGGGCAGCGGCTGGGGCCCGGCAGGGGGGCAGCGCGCGGGGTGCGGCGCATGAAGGAGGAGGGCGAAGGTAAACGCAGCAGCGACACGAGCAGCAGTAGCAGCAGTAGCACGAGCAGCAGTAGCACGAGTAGCGGTAGCAGCAGTGGCGCTAGCAGTAGTGGTACTTGCAGTAGTGGTACCTGCAGTAGTGGTACCTGCAGTAGTGGTACTTGCAGTAGTGGTACTTGCAGTAGTGGTACTTGCAGTAGCGGCACTAGCAGGAGTGCCACGAGCAGCAGTAGTAGCAGCAGCAGTAGTAGTAGTAGCCGCCATAGTGGCAAGAGTCTGAATGGCAATAGTAGCTGGAGCAATACCCGTAGCAGTAGTAGAAGCGGCAAGAGCAGTAGCATCCAGCAGCGGATTGATCATGAACGACGACGACGGTGATGACGACGACGGTGATGACGATGCCGACGATCGACCGCTTTCTCTCTCCCCCCCCGCTCGCGGCCGCGCAGTGATGATGGACGTCTTCTCGCCGTCGCCCGTCGACATGATGTCGGGCGCCATGGAGGGGATGATGTCGCCGTTCACGCAGCTGCCGCACGCGCACGTGATGGAGGCCGCCTCCTCCTCGTACCAGCCCGACCCCTTCCAGCAGGGCCTCACGCCCCCGCAGATGCCCGGCGATGCCATGAACCCCTACGGTAACGGAGTTCTCGGAGCACGGAGAAAAGACAAAAAAGAGACCCCCCCCCTCCCCCCCCCCCCCCCGGTCTCGTGTCCTCTCCCGGGTCGGGGTGGGGGGGGGGGGTTAGGGGCAAGCGCTGGGCACGCGTGTAGCCCATATTCAGGGTGCCCCGGTGGCGAGATGTTAACTCAGGAGGTTGTGGATTCGATTCCGACCCCGACGTCTATGCATTTGGAGTTTGCGCGTCTCTCTCCGCGTGGTCGCGTGGATTTTTCTCCGGGTCCTCCGGTTTTTCCCCTCCACGTTTAAGAATCAACGTCGCGCGTTTAGAGCATTTGGCTGCAATACATTTCCACGTAATAAGCCACTTCGTTGAGCTATCATTTGTGGCCAGGTCACTTCTGAAAATGAGTTCATTAGCTCAGTGGGCCTTACCTGGTAGGAAAAAAAAAGTAGTAAAAATAACAATAGCTCAACCGAACTGACGGTGACGCTTCCCCCCTTTGTCGCTGTGGCGACAGGGAGCGACCCCATGTTTCAGGAGATGGAGGGCGACACGTCGCTGAGCGGCCTCAGCGACTGCCTGCTGGCATGTGTGGAGCCCATCACCGCCCTGCAGCCGCGTGTCGGCAACCCCATCGACCGCCTCTACTCCATGCAGAGCTCCTATTTCACCTCCTAGAGGCCCCGTCACGCCCTGCGTAGCCCTCTCCTGGCCCCTCCTTGCCCTGCCTGGTCAGTGTGCGTCAACACCTCCTCGCCGCTCCACCAAAGATTTACCGGTCACCTCTTCCTGTCCATCTCTGGTCACGCTCTCTCTTCTTGTGTCTTCTTCCCCCCCCCAGCCTCTCTCTCTCTCTCTCCTCCTCAGCTCTGTCCACACGCCTGTCTCTTTGCTTGTCTGTCCATCACGCACGGAGCTGTCGTCTCGGTCTACTCTCCTCTCTCCCGTTCTCTGTTTGCTCTCTTTCCGTCTCTCACGCGCCTCTCTCTGCCTTTCTGTGTCTTGATGTCCCTCACTCTGCCTCTGACCCCGTATCACGCTGTCGCTACTACGTGTCCGTAAACCTTTCTCTCCCCCATCTCTCCGCCTTCCTTATCCGCTCGTCTCTGTCCCGCTCTCTCTTCCGATCCGCGTTGGTATCACACCCAACGAGGCGGACGCTTCTGCTTCATCCAGCAGTGGATGACGGTTGGCGACGGCGGTGACGGCGATCACGACGAGGCCGATGATGGCGTTTATTGACGGCGGCCTCGGAGGAAGGGAAAGGCCTCGCTCGCAGGCCGCACCGAAACCCCCTCCCCGTGACAAATCGCTCTCGTTGGCGCCACGCGGAGAGAGCACCGTCAGTCTAAACGCCGCCCGCCGCCCAACCGAAGCCGGTGACGTCTCCGCGCCGGGGAATTTGCTCGACTGAGACGGAACGCCATCGCGGGACGGGGGCAGGGGGGGTGGTTGAAGGAAAACCGGGAGAACTTTTAGCGGGATGAGATTCCCCGCCATCAGGACGTACGCCCGAGCAAGACGAACCACATTCCACTGCATCGGCGAACTGGAGACTGCCCAATCGCGCGCTTTCCGTTCCGCAATTTACCATTCACTTGGTTTTAATTTTGTTCACGCGACCGCAGCCGCCACACACAGAGGAGCAGCAGCAGCAGCAGCAGCAGCAGCAGCACGAGGGCCCACCCGGGGTGGGGTCCTCGTTTGACGTCTTCACCACGGAACCCGCCACGCTACACGCAACAAAAACCCGCCACCGACACGCGAGCGGCGATGTCACACGCGCACGCTCGTCACTCCCGCATGCGAAGCGTCGCCCGCCCACGCACGCACGCACGCACACACAGGAGCATCGTCCGATCTGCCTCTCGGACCGCTGCTGGGGCAAGTGCCGTCGGCGAGCGCCTGCGTTAAGGCTGGATGCACATGCACGCCTGCGATACGACCCCAGGCCCCACCGAGCTTCGATGCCTGGCACGTCAAAGGGGAGGTGGGGGGGGGGGCGATCGGCAAACGAACTTCGACTTGGGCTTCCTCGAGATGGAAGTCGATCAACGTCAGCAATGGTGGAGGCGAAGGGCGATGGGGAAATGCGAGGGCCCTGGTCTCACCGCCCCCTTTAACGCGCTGTGCCAATGCAGAGATATCAACGTCACTAAGACCCCCCCCCCCTCCCCGCCGCTCCCACACCCTTGTATAGCTTCATACACTGTTAGGGCAAGTGCTGTTAGTGATTGCCTATTAAGGCCAGCACAACGTACGAGGTGATGGTGGTGTCGCCAGCACCTCGCCTGCCCACTTTTGTCCCCCCCCCCCCCCCCATCATTGCTGGTGTTTACACAATAAACCAGGCTGAGTTGACCTCTGGGGAGGCCCAGGGACTGATTCGAACATCGCTCGCCCGCTGATGTTAGCTTTAGCCAGGAATCAAACTCAGGTTGTCGGGTTAGTAGCGTGGCGTGCCAACCGCTTTTGCTACTGCTTCCTCTGACAGATGGATATGTGCAGATGCACGCACGCACGATGTACACAATGTACAAAATGTGCACTCGGTACACTGACCACCTCCGGTTGCCACCTCTAAGGTGCAATAAACCCCGGGTGCATCGTGGGAAAAGGAATTCCTCGCAGTACCAGAAGAGGTAAATACATTTGTAAAGGTGTAAATGCATTTTTCTGGAGTGGTGTGGCTGTTATTATCATGGTTACGACGCAACTGACAGATTCTCCAGGACAATAGCTACCTCAACCAGAGGGAGAAAGAGTATCCTGCAAAAGAACAGTAGAGGTGGAAACCCATCTAACCACACGCACACACACACACACGTACACACAAAGCGAAAGATCCCCCACATATAGCCTTGGCAGAATGTTGGGCCAAGTGCTGTTAGCGAGTAGCACCTATGAAGGATGGCATGGCACACCAAGGATGGCACGGCACACGAAGGGGTGGGTGGCCAGCACCACGCCCGGCCGCCTTTGTCTCCCCAGTGGCAATGTTATTACACACCGCACCAGCTACTCATTTGAGTTCGAGTCGGCCTAGGGGAGGCCCAAGACCGGTTCAGATAATCGTCGCCGGTGTTGGCCGCGAGCGGAATCGAACTCGGGTCGCCGGATTCGCAGCGCAGCGCGCTAACCACTGCACCACCGCTCCACACACACACGATTAGCACGGTTGGCTACGTGCGGTGCGGAAGAAGATCAATGTGCAACACACACGTACACAAAACACAAACACATTCCTGAGCGAGTCGTTAGTGGCTGTGAGCTGCCGGCTGAGTGTTACCTCTATGCTCCCCCCAACTTCTCTACCCCCCCCAAGGAGTGTGGAGCCCCCCCCCTCGCCCCCCCTCGCCCCTCCGCCCCCGCACTGCCACCACAGTTCCACCATGCACCCCTCCTCCAAACTCCGTGAAGTCTCGATTATTCACACGTCTGTGCAATGTATACACAATGATTGATAGAGTTTCCCGAACTGGAAAACAACAACAACACGATGTATGACTCGAAGAAGAAGAAGAAGGAGGAAAAATCATTTGAAAATGTTTGAGAAAGAAAATATTTTAAAGTGAAAGGAAATAATTGAAAGAATTTCGTTTTTGATTCTCGCTTAAGTTCCTTCCAAATTGCTTCATTTAACTGTATATTGTGAAGTAGCGTACTGTAAATATATATAAAGTATATTTCACTATTTATATGACCAGTTTTTAGTTCAGCAAGCACCATCCATTAACTCCTTTTATTTCGTTTAGGGCCGCACAGTTTGTGATGAATTTATCTTTGCTTCCCCAGGGGGGGGGGTCGGGGTGTCCTTTGTGTCACTTGTCATGCCAATTAGCGCACAAGCATTCCAGGGGTAGTCTCGTTGTTGCACAGTGGGCCTATAACTCCGACTCATGGCATTTGACTATGCGTGGTGTTTGGGAGACCACAATTTTGTTCGGATTGAATGTCGTCCACCACCGCCAGCAGCAGCAGCACATTCGACCGAGCCTTTTGCGAGATCACCCTCGGCCAATTAAGCCGGTAGCTTTTCGCAATCGTTGTGTTCGGAGTTGAGAAGGCAAAAAAATCTCGACTCGCAGCTTCGGTCAAGTAACGATTTAAACTTTTTGTTTTAATTAGCCCAGTTTGACGGGCAAGGCGGGGGCAGACATTTGCGAGAATTTTAGTTCATGGCAGTGTTGGGACAAAACTGTTGAAGCTTTTGTCAATTTTTTTTGTATTACCTTGTGAAAAAAAAAACATTTTCTCTTTTAAATACAACAGGACAACCCTGGAACTGGATGATAATTGAACGGGTGTTGCCTCCAAAGATGGTGTTTAATTCGTGAATGTTTCCCAGGTGAAAGTTGTAAAATCGTTGAGTCGGCACCGCTATCATTCCCTGTCTTGTGTCTTATTCACAGCCACAACTCCTCCTCCTCCTCCATGCAAAAACAGTGGCATTTGTGTTCGGTCGGGTCAGTGAAATCACCACCGTTACGCTACACCACATTTATTTATTGCCGGTGACGTTGCAATTGCTATCGCTATTTTTCTTTTGTGTTTTTTTTTCATTGCAATAGACTGGTTCCATTTTTTTGGAGACTTTCCAGCAAAGAAAACGTTGCACATGAACCCAGGTTACAGAGCCGTTCTCTAGCACCCGGGAACGAAAGCGGCAGTGGAGGTGACAGGGATTCAGTTTCATCCGAGCTTTTCACCGGTTTTATCCACAATTACCTTAATTGTTTAGCAGCTTTGCCACTGTAAGCTAAGCACTCACAAAAGGAGGCGGCACAATAATTGGGTCATATTTATACGAGTATTTATTAGGTTGTACTACTTCTGACTGTGTTCTAGAAAACCAAAGCCTGCAGTAGGCCTCACTTGATGGGAAACCTTGGCTTACTGATATTTTGTGTAAGCAGTTGTTTTGTCGCGAAGAGGGAGAGAGTGAAAAGGGGGGAGTGGGGGGGGAGTGCACTCTGTGCTGGCAGGGGGTAGTGATGTGATTTGCAAGTGGATAGCGAAGCAGGAAAATTCTCCTTGAGACACGGAGGCTGTGTGTCGGAGTGAACGGCTCTTCTTGTGGCGGCGTTTCCTTCATCATTTCGCTCCTCGTGGGATCACCTCGTCTGGGTTGAATGCACAATGCAAATAAAAATCATTCGGCGTAACCACTTTGTGATATAAGCAAATACCGCACAATCCCACAGTTTGTGTGCGTGTGGCTTTCAGGAGAAAATACTTTTTATTGGCTGCCATTTATCTCGTGTCAGTCTGCAGAGCAGCGATGCGTTAAACCCAAAAGCGAGCTGCGTTCCTTAAACTTTGCAAATGAAAGCAATTGTCATACGTTACATCTTTTTTTTCACTCTGACAAACGGAATGACGGTCAATTTTTTGTCAAAAACGGCAACGCGAATTTACCTTGGGATCATTTTGCAACGACCGCCGGCATTGTTACATCGGCAAAGAAACATCCTCCTGACCCCCCCCCTTTGCAAGATATCCCCTCTCTCATGTCTCCGCGCAATGGGACCCATTTGCACAAAAGTGTAATCTTAATTGGAGATCAGTGCTGGCATGTTAACCCGCGCTCGTTATTCAATCAGTCCCGAGGTCACGGCGTAGAACCCCGCGTCGGAGATAAACGCGGCGCGCACAAAACACACGGAGCCAAATCGCGAAATTCGATCATGAAACAAATCTGTGCGGAGGTAAAGCTGAGAATAATTGTGCAAGCCGGGTGGGGTTTTGTTGTAGCTGTTTATCTTATTAAATAAAACAGATGGGATGGGAGGGGGGGGTCGTTTTGTTAAACAAAAAATAAGGGCCATCCGTGGAAATGGATCATGGGAGCGAATGGAGCTCCCGTGCCCTAAGCGCTTGCAACACAATCGCTCGCTACTTAACGTGGTTACCGTGGCGGGTAAAAATTAAATGATGGCTGTCAGAGTCCACCCTTGAGCTTGGATTACCTTGGCCGCCGCTGGTGAGAAGTTAGGGGGTGGGAGGGCACCACCAGGTCTTAAAAAGAGGCCCGTTTGAACAACACAGTTTTCAATAAATAAACCACACACACAAAAACGTATAAACAATATTTTTTAAAAACGTGAAATTTTAGCGCGAGGTTACTCATTCGAGGCTCTGAAACGGAGTGAAAATAATCTCATTGGAAAGCCAGGGGTTGTTGTGGAAAGGTGTTAAGTGTTAAACGTATTTATACACACACATCGCGCTGAAAGGTTTTTCGTTAAAAGTGAGGTTGACAAACCCGAGTATTTATTTACGTTTCGTATTTTTTTCTTTTTTTAAAGGATAACACACGGAGAGGTTGGCTTTTTATGGGAAGGCTGTGCGTACGCCCCGTAATCCAAGGACTTTGGGGTTGGTGGTTCGCGCTGAGATCTCATGCGAGAGAGACACCCACCCACAGGGCGACGTGGCGGTGCAGCAAGTGGGTTGCTCGCCAAAACGTTTCAGTGTCTTCCCCTGCAATGTTTGGGTTTCTCGAGGCACGCTGCTTAGGATTTCCTCCCGACATTCAAAAATTCTCAGCGAGAATTTGGCCCGAAATACCTGAACGGGGCCCTCCTAACAAGATTAGTGAGACTCGGCGAGCATTTTTTCTGAGCAAATTTTCACTTTCTATTCGAAAACTTTTTTTTTACAATTAAATTGAAGACCCCGCCATGCGAATGTGGAGTTGTCACCACGGGCTCAGTGCCGTCAGTGGGCATGAACACCGCCCCCCCCCCCCCCCCATACGTATTTGAGGGAACCGTTTTGATGGGACGGCAAATGACCGTCCCCAAACCGCTCAACAAATCTGATGGAAATGAACATTCGTCAAGATGAGTAATCTTGTTTTCACAGCTGTCTTAAATAAAGTGGTCCTCCTCCTCGCAGCCGGGACATCGATCACACCTTCCCTGAGCAGTTTTGGCGACATCAGACGAAAAAAACATTGCTTAAAATCCCGCATCATTTTGAGTGAGCCCATCATCATCATCGGTATCATCATCATCCACAGTCGGACCCCCCCCCCTCCCCCCGTGTGTGGCTCTGCTGTTGCTGGTGATGAAGAAGAAGAGCTTTAGGTGTGCGACTATGGCGATGAGAAGCCCCGTTCGTGTCTCGTCTGAGCGTTACGTGTCGACTCTGTGTGTGTGTGTGTTGAGGGAAGCAGGCTGCTTTGTATTGTCCCTGTAAATTGTAGACACGTTTGAATAAACTTTTAACTGAATCTGTACACTCACACGCTGAACTGTGCGTCTGTGCGTGTGGCCGTTGATACCACGACGGAGACGAAAGCGCCACCGGGCGTGGAGCTGTCCACCCACGCTCCCCGTGTGCCCTGCCGCCCTTCACGGGTGCTCGTCGCGAACAGCACTAACTTGCCCCCAACAGTCCGTTAAGGCTATACGGGGGGATCTTTGTCTATATATTTAAAAAAAAAAGATCCTCCAGTTTTGCCTTAACAGACTGTTGGGGAAAGTGCAGTTAGCGAGCACCTTTGAAGGTCGGCACGGCACACGAGGGGGTGGGTGGCCAACACCACGCCGCCCGGCCGCCTTTGTCTCCCCAGTGGCGATGTTTACACACCGCACCAGGTACTCATTAGGCTGAGTCGACCTTGGGGAGGCCCAAGACCGATTCTGATAATCGTCACCGGTGTTGGCCGTCAGCGGGAATCGAACTCGGGACGCCGGTTTTGCAGCCCTAACCGCTACACTATGATGAGTAGGATGCATAATCCTACTCATCATCGGTGATCTATCAACTGCTGGATGAAGGACTCATCCCCCCAACCCCAAGATTTCGACATCTGTG